ACAGACAACCTCTCGTCAATATGCGTTTTCTGCATTGCATAGCTGCAAAAAACGCATAAAAATAATGAATCCATAGGCACTAAGTTCGGTGACTAAATCCTAAAAATACCATATTTAAAAAAAAGGACAATAAAAATCGTGTTAATAAGATGGCTATTTCAGTATGAATGTGCATTCTGAACTGAGATGGTTATCTCATTTAGGTGCAGTCAAAACAGGACTACACGTTAGTACCTGAATATCTTAGAGGACTTTATGCAGAATCAAATGATCACCAGGTACCCAGTTTTCATCCAAACCCATTCAAAACCTGTATATTATTAAGGCGTAACCATACGCTGCATGCAGCAACGGCAGACTTGCCTGCTGTGTACGCTTCATCCAGACCACCTGGGTTGTTTTAGTAAAGTTGACACAAACACGCGAACTGAGTGGCAGTCAATTGTAGGACCGCCTGGATGAAGCGTACACAGCAGGCAAGTCTGCCGTTGCTGCATGCAGCGTATGGTTACGCCTTAATAATATACAGGTTTTGAATGGGTTTGGATGAAAACTGGGTACCTGGTGATCATTTGATTCTGCATAAAGTCCTCTAAGATATTCAGGTGCTAACGTGTATATTCAGGTGCTAACGTTCTTGATAACAGCAAGCCGCACCCTTACTCTTGTTTTAAAAATGCAAAAACAACAGGAAAAATTCCTACTACTTGTATCGGTGATAAAGTGAATTTGGAATCCGGAAGGGCAAAAGTTAAGAAGTCTTTAGCCTACTGCTTACGCATTAATCGGAAGCAGTCAGACATCTTTGCGACTGTGAGTGATTCTTATTTTGAAGAAATCTTCGAATATGGAAAAGGCTGGCCCCCTTAAAATACTGATAATAACATTCGATGACACCAGCTGCCAAAATTTCACCAGGCGCATTCCGCATTTAATGCTTCAGTGAGTATAAGTGCCAACATTTACCGGTTCAGTCAGTGTAATCTCTTTCAGAATTAGTTTATAAGCAATAATAGGCGAGCCACGATCATTCGGCTCATCCCACACCAAACTGCAGGCTTTAGAGCAGTCGTAGTTTATATCATTTGGCGCCTCTGGTGCTGAAAAATATCGTTCCCAATTAGCAATTTTATATAGCATCACGTTCACTTGAATCTTTTTCGACATTCCTCAGCGAACATTCAAAAATATAGTAAGAATAACTCCAAGGAGCGGTAGTGAGAATGAGTTCCGGATCACTCAGTTCGGAAACACCGGCTTCATTGGTAGCCTGAGCTCGAATTTTATATCTGCTTTTTGGCTCAAGTTGATAGATCCGGAACTCCTGATTGCCGCTGTATTCGAATGTCACATTCGCAGAATTCGGTTCAAAATCTGATCCATTTACCTACAAAAGTGTTGTAAAAAGTACAATTCAAGTATTCGGTAAGTTCAATTATGTCAAAAAATGTGCTTTTTTTTTTTTGCATTTCTTTCATTTCAATCGATGCTATCACTTCCTCTGAAAGTGAATAAAATTCGATTTTTCCAGCAAAGGTGTGTGTGGTACATGAACAGAGATCGAGATTTCGGATAATTAATGAATGGTAGTAGTGTGCCCTGGAAAGCGATAGCGAAAATTTAAAACCTCCGCAGCAAAGTGGATCTTTGTTACGGCCCACTGTTAACTTTGCAAATCATTCTGTCCAATTTGCTGAACTCCTGAAGCTCAACTGTGCTCACTATTACCCAGTACAACTCCGGAATTTCTGGTTTTTCTTGCGTGTAGTATCTTCACGATACAAATTTTTCGTCTCGATCGGGCAATTTTAATGTGTCATGATCGCAAAGGATTGAAAAAAAAAAAAACCACGAGTCACCATATCAAAAAGTTGTGGAAAATGGGAAAATTGGTCTACAAAAAATGGTTGGAAAATTGTTGTAAAATCAGAAAACCTCGACTTCATGCACAATGTGCCTGAAAATAAAGCAAACGGAATATCTGCTTATACAAACCTTATCTTCCCGAGCAATGTAGAACGTGATATTTGTTGGTAACATGCCAGGTTTTAGATATTCTCGACTGCCAATTGTACAAACAGCGAAGTTAGGATACAGCTGTTGGTGACAGTTGAGTTGAGATGGAGTTGCTGGAGGCACTAAATTTACGAAGTTCTGCACGAGTGAAATTTGCAAAAACGAATTTCATCTCACTTTATTTCACATTTCAATGATAAAATGCAGAGCACAATTTGCATCAAAAAATCAGATTACAGGTAATGTGTTTCATCGCATTTTCTGCTGCCGATGGACGATAACAGGGTTCGTGCTCTGAGGCGAGGGGGAAAATTGTTTCCCGCTCCATTTTTTGTGTTTTTATAACTTTGGAGGGTGGAAGAGAGATTGCTATTACTTTATTTTGTGGGAGGGGGAGAGGGATTTGCTGGTTTATTTGGTGAAGAGTGGGGTGGCGGAGGGGAGGGGGTGTGCTGTTGGTTAAGTATTACACTACTGCTCGGGAGGAGTGGGGGTGGGAGAAGGGTGGTTGTTGCCGGTTAACTTTGCGGGGAGGGGGAGGATTACTGGTTCATCCTCTTGGGGGAAGGCGGAGTAGGGAGGAGGCTGGAGGAGGGGAAGGAGGAACGTGCAGTTGATTAAGTAACTGCATTGCTGTCTCAAAATTTCAGCTCTCTAGCTTTTATAATTCCCGAGTTAGTGACTTTTCCGCCAAAACTTTCATCTCCTCGTACGCGGGGTCCAGACTAGCGTGAGGGTTGGTACCGCGGTCCTGGAGTGGCACTTGGCCGGGGAACCAACTAGCGAAATTTTGGCACCGGAGCTTGCTAGGGTGTCGAGTTAAAATACCCGGACAAACGCACACACACACATACATAGATACACATATATACATACGTACATACATACATACATACATACATACATACATACATACATACATACATACATA